TTGACAGTATATAAAATAAAGGTTGAACTTTCGAATTTTTTTTGTCTTACCTTCACCCGATTCGTATTCGTGGCCCCCGATCCATTCTTGTGACAGCAAATCGTTACTTTAATAATGACGAGATGATCTTCAAAAATCAACCAATCATAATAAAGCCCGCTATGCTGATATTGCTAAGGAACTTTAGTATATAACTTATATACAATAAATTTTAGAAGTTGATAAATAAGGCATTTGTGCATCCAAAGCATGTTCCGGGATAATAATTTTAGGTATTAGAAATGAATTTTTTTGAAAAAAAAGTATGCTAAATAAATATATATAAGACTTTATATGGTATAATATTGGTTGATATACATACGTCATCAGAAGTAATGTTATTAAAAAAATCGGCAATCAGAAATCATCGATTTCTTTTTTTTTTTGTTCTGCAAATTTCACATTTTTTTGCAAACCGCAATAAATTAAATCGATTATAATCGATTAATTTTATTATAATCAATAAAAATCTTTATCGCGTGTAATCGGCGGGGTGATAATAATCGATTAAAATCATCGTATTTTAATCGATTACAATCAGTTTGCAAAATTTCCTGATGAAGTTCAGAAGTTTCGAACTAAGACCTCCCCGAAACTAGTTTCGGGTAAGTTTCATTTCGTTGCCCAACTCTAATTTTCACATGAAAAAAAAAGATTGGTAAAAACGTACGGGACACTCATGATGGACGATAATTTTATTATAAGAGGATTATTTACCAGAATTTCCTTTAAAAACCTAATAGTAACATTTATGACATGTAATCACATATAATATAAATCACTGATTAGGTTTTCAGGAGCCGAATTTATAATGATAACTTGAGCTCAAAGTTTCATTTACTCTTGGTAGTGCTCAAATGATTTCTATACTTTTTTGGATTCGTACATTTAACTATCTTTTTTTTTTTTAATTCATTTTATATTTCATTTCCAATCGGTTATCCTATCTCATCTCATACTACTATACATTACACATTATATCGTTCATTCATCTATCTATCAATACCATTGTTAGTTATTCTTACATATAGGATCAAATTTGCCCTTCGGAAGAATCAAAGTCCCACTTTATATTTTTAGCAAAATCACGGATAAATTAGTCGCGCTATCAAAATTCAGCTGATTAGCCAAAGTTTATGAACGGAATGCATCGGATTTAGGCCGGCATTAAGCAAAAATAATAACTAACTATAGCAAAATTAGCATTTGGGCAATTCTAATTAGCGCATGGATTACTGGATTATTAGCAAATTTTATTCATTCCGTCCTAGAATTGGTCTATCTGCTAAACTTTGGTTCGCGACAAATCTATTCCGATTACGACGATCGAGTTACCTTAAGCACGGACATTTTAACGTGCCTAACTACTAGTAAGTCTTTAATATTAGTAAAATGTAAGAGATCCGGGTCTTTTATATGAAGGTATTATAGTTGTTAGACAAACTTCGAGGTTTCGCGTAAAAAGGTTTCATCTAACAACTATATCCTCACTGTATAAAGCAGGCCGGCTTGCGTGTAGATTTTCCATGGATGGAAGAATTCAGGTGCGAATTTTGCTTACTAGATGGTCAGTTGTTTGTAGCCTGCTTCTTATACGATTAAGATATCAGTAATTCATCATGCTTCTAGTTAATTAAATAATACTTATCTAACTCATGCGCTCTAATTATGCCTGACAAACCTATTTTTACAATGACTAAATGGTTTCGTCTGATGAAAACCTTGGCGATTGACGAAATTGACGAAACCAAAGACGACTCCTGACGAAATTAATTTGACTAATAAAATATAGGAAATAGAGCCCCTGTTTAGACAAGCTTCTTATAACGACCTCTAGATATTCTGGATCTTAAATTTTTAAAATTACTGTTATTTTATTATAAAGGTCCATCATTACATATGAAAAATAGTAATTTTTTTTTTATTACAACGAACTTTTTCTATTAAGTTGTTAGTTGTTATAAAAGTTAGCTTCATAAAATTAACAAGCTTATACATGCAATGATTAAATTTCATCAATACATTACATTGAATCCGAATCCTCAACGGACCTGTTGGATATATCCGGGTAATTAACGTAAATAATTGGACAATGCCGGGCCAAAGTGTCAAAAAAAAAAAAAAAAAGAAATTGTTGGTAATAAATTATACCATATTAATCTGATAATCTATACAACACTGATTTATCAATATTGTAAAAAAAAAATAATAAAACATAAAAAAGAAATCACTACGTACTACAAAATTCTATGACCCACCGTCATGACATCATACAAAATGAAGAATAACACTTCTATCTTCCACTGCAGGGAAATAAGCTGGTAGACTCCGGCTATATGAAGGCCCTTGTATAACCGATAATTTACTCCTTATTCACGCTGTTGTGAAAAATAAATAGTACTTATTCACTTGATTCTTTATGGACACGGTAGATTTTGTAACACGTGGTCTAGTAGCACGGGATCAGGATCGGTTTGTGAAACTTACGCGTTGCATTGATCATCATATAATACAAACAACCCGATCTCTAGCGAAGAGTCAGGAGGTTTTTAGAGAGTTTAACCATATAGGTTTGAATTTTAATAGTCTTGGAACTTGAATAAAGAAACATTTAATCATAAACAGTATGTTTATAAGTGGTATTCCTTTACCCGGACGATACATTAGTATTCGAACAAGAGAAGTAAATAAGTGTACGGTAGATCTGTTAACTATTCGACACATATTTTCAATTGATTTAGTTTGTGATGATCATAATATAAGCTATTTCTTTATATTTATATAAATTATGACAAAGAAATTTTTGAAATAATCTATGATCTAGGACATAATGGTAGAAGAAAATTACAGATTTTAAATTAGTTGATTAAAATGTTTATTTTAAACTTGGAATTTTCCTAGTAATAAATTACAATTCCTTAAATTAGGTTTTGTGCACTCAAAATAAGCTTGATGTATAATCTCTAGCAATATCCGATTCAATTAACATAAAGGAAAAATTATAAAATTTTTCAATAAATAGAAAGATTTCATTGCTATTACAACAATTCTTTCACAATTTAAGTCTAATTATAGTTTATCGGAAACGGACGACGAAACCGCACACATGTGCATTCTCTATTTAATAAAATCTTTTCTTGCACGTACGTACTGGTTGCAAATCATTTTATATCACTAACAAATTTTATCCGGCAAACTCTTATGATTATGAAAAATTTTCTTTTTGTTATTTTTTTCATGTGTTACAAGTTATCATGTTTATTCGAATTAAACTCAGTTAGCCAATCACGACTTGAGAATTATGATCATGATTTACCGGATAACACTAATATTGAGTCATGCGTTGATAAATATTATATACATATTATCATGGACTTTTTGACTTTTTTATGTAGATTTAACTGGATTATTAGATGAAAATAACATTATTTGATTCATCTAAATGGACTCAAATTAGTAATATCGCAAATATCAGTATCGATAATTTACCATTTTTAGGTGGTAGTGCAAATGATAAAGTTTTCTTTGCAACAGAAGCTTCTTATGGAACTTCTGCTTGTGTATTTATTGATTCGTATGATACTACGTTAAATAAACGGGAAACAAATATAAGTTTCACTGGAAAACCCAGTAAATATTTTATATTTTCCGTCTGGACTTCTAATGGAAGTACAGGAAAATCTTATTCAATTCAAGATATTTCCCGATGTTGTAGATATTTTTGACACAATTAATTCGTATGGTCAAATAGTTCAGTAATCCCACAATCATATACAACTTATATCGGTGCAGGTTTATACCGTCCTCCTCAAACTTTATTACTAATGGTCAAATTTTATATTTTCGGTCAACCTTCAGATGATCAAATAACGTTAATGACCAGTGTAACAGTTGAATGGGAGAGCGGGTACAATTATAGACAAATAGTGCCAATATGAAGCTCCAACCGTGTACGGAAATTGGGGTTTATATAAACGAAAGAGGATATGAGTTTATCTTAAAATAATCAATCCTTGGGACGAAGATAAACTTAATATGATTTAAATAATGATAATAACTAAAAATGAATATGTTGATTAACGTATCAACGAAAGCTAAGGGTTGATTGATAATGATGTTGATAAAATGGTTTGCGCCAATATAAGACTTAAAATGGATCAATCTCAAGAACAACTATGAATTAAAATGATCAAAAGATGATATCAACGGAAGTTGATAATTTAAAGCGATAAGTTATTTTTGACTTTACTATTTAAAATCGCTGATGCTGGTGATGCCAATGGTGGCGGGGGTTTTCAATTTTCACGCGTCAAACTAGCACTTTTCTTGACCGAAAGTTCTTTTAAACAGAATCATGTGACAAGGTTCCGAAAGCGTAGAAGACAACGGTTACACCAAATTTCGAGTCTTAACAAGCCGAATCGAAGTTACGAGTCAATTCAATCCGTCGAATTGAGTTACGATAAGGTTTATTAAAGTTCAAGTCGAAATTTACAAGCGATAAGAATTTTACGTTACTACTTTTATTTTCGTAAAGGGACGTGGAACTTGTCCTTCTTTATTATTTTTCAACGTTTTTATACATTTTAGTTTGACGCTAAGTATTTCGCGTCAGCGCTAATAATTTAACGTCTACGCTAATCTTTTGGCGTGAACATTAAAAATCTGGCGTCTACGCTAATAATTTAACGTCTACGCGAAAGTTAGATGTACTACGCCTCTTAAGCCTCATGCAATTCCCGAATTTGTACAACTAATTTAATTATCATCAAAAATTTTAATATTACTATATCGGACATTGTTATCAAAATGGAATTGGCGCGTGACGACATAATATAGACGAAAGTAAAAATAAAATAAGATGAAGAATAAAATAAAATAAAGAAATTTATGTACAATTGTTAAATATGATTTTAATCCATAAACCAGCATATTAGCTTACTATATAAAAATTCATTCATGGCAACTTGTATTAATTAACGATTGGATATTAGCCTTTTATGCATAAATATATAGAATACTGCAGGTAAAGTTCCAGATATACGCAGCGGCGGTCATACAGCTGTGTCAAGTAAGTATTAGCAAATTCAATAAAAGCCCTCACAATACAATAATATATTATTTTATATTATTTATATTATTGACTTTGGACGCGTTATTATATATGATGGTGCTAGTAATAAATTAGCAGCTACTCCATCTATAGTAGTCTTGAACACTTCTAATTATGAATGGTCAGTACCAACATTAATCGGACATACATCAATTATAGTTAATAATTATATGATTACAGCATTTTGGTATTTATAATTTTCTATATTTGCAAATTATATAAAGAAATATGTTTAATTGTTCTTTAATTTCAAAGGTACAAATGTGTCAGAAAGAGATTCTTCTAAAGAATGGAGTAAAAGCATTTATAAATTGGATATATCTGATCCATTGACTTATATAATTATAAATCAACATTTAATTCGACATTTAATTTACCAACGTATAACCCTCTTTTCACTCCCCGACTTTAAATGATTCTTCACCTTCGAATAATAGTTTGAGTTTGTTTATTGGTATTGGTGTTTGTGTGGGTATAATCGGAACTCTATCTTTTGCTGGGTTTTTCTTTTACAAAAATTCTCAATCAAATCTTAAAGAAAATTATATTTCAACACCTAATATTATTCCTTATTAAAGAACTAAAATATATAGTTAGTTGTTAGAATTATAATCTCTGCGAGTATTTTTTTTTTATTCTTAATTTCTTGCATTTAGATATTACAAGATTTCACTTGGAGTAAATTAGAAATTTTTTAATATAATCTATTAATTATAGATTGTTTTATTATAGAACTTATAGATTAGCAAAATAACACTTTGCATAAAGAAGTTTTAATTCTACATATTTGGTTTTTAGAGCAGAAGAGATAAAATAATAATAATAATAATAATATAGGATAACACAAAAAAGACATGCTTTATATTATTAATAAAAATAGATTCGGCAAAAAGTGAATAGTGCAATATTATTTTGTTGCCTCGAGAATAAAATTTGTAGTGTAATAAATTTTACTAGTATATTTCATTTCACGTAAATTTGGTCATCGATACCTAATAACAAAATTTCAGATTGAGATAATTCCAATAATATTTTTTTGTCGTCATTCCATTTTGAAAAAACATCATAGATTTTTTCTGCAGTTGGGCGATTTTCTAGGCACTTTTCCCAACATTCTTTCATTAGATTTAAATAACATTGTGGTGTGTCCTTAACAATCGGTGGTCTCAAGTTATTACAACATATTTCTATTTGAAGTTGTTGATTAAATTCCTGATTGTAATATACTGATTTTCCATATAATATCTCCCACATAATTATACCAAACGAATAAATGTCAGATCCTGTTGTATAAATTTCTTCAAATTTGTTTACTATTAGAGCGTATTGAAAGTCCTAAATCAGCAATATATGCACTATATAAATTATCTCGCAATAAAATATGCAAATCTCGATGAATAAATTCTTGAGAATGAATTATTCGAAGATCGGAAATAATACAAAGCAATAAATTTAATTTATCTTTCCATCTCATTTGTGCTATAGAATGAAGATTTTTACGTAATGATCCCCTTGGCGCATAGTCTAAGACAAGAATATAATCTTTAGAAACGTCATCTCTTGATATTCCATAGCATTTGAAAAAAGAAGGATTTTTATAACCGATGTCACAATACGCCTTTAACTTCAAGATTAAAGGAATATTAGTTAAATAATTAAAACGTATGACAGTTAAAAAAATTTACCTCTTTTACAAACTCTTCTAAATGTTTGTTTGATTCATGTAACAATTTAAGTGCTACACTTCTTTCTACTTCAAGATTTTGATCTTTCCACTTAGCTTCATATACCGATGCAAATCCACCTCTTCCTTTCTTTGAAAGTATTTTAAGCTCATTATAAGGAATCCACGATAATAAATGTTTATATTTTATCAATATATTTTTTAAACAATCATCTATGTCAGGATTTTATTTATCCAGTCGTTTGTAACTAAAAATTTAATAGTTAGACTTAATACTAATAAACAAACTTTTAGTAGTGTAGTGCTTTACCTGAAAATTGAGGTTTATACCTTTAAACGAATAAAAGAGAAAATAATAAAAAAATATTACTTTAAAATAGAATATTACTTTTGATACCACTCTATAGACTTCTGTAGGTTTCTTATTACTCCAATTCCATTTCTATAACAATATGCAACTTGAGAAATTCCAGCTAAACATCCCAAATTAGCAGCTTTTTGGAAATAAGTAAACGCCTCTTGTTCTCGTTTTTCAACCCCAATACCATAAAAATAATAACATCCAACATTAAGCATTCCTTTAGCATTTCCCATATCTGCTGATTTTTGATAATAAATAAATGCCTTATGTTCATCTTTTTTAACCCCAATTCCTTCATCATTACATTATATGTTCCTGATTTTCGATAGTAAATGAAGGCCTGATGTTCATCCTTTTCAACTCCAATTCCATTTCGATAATAGCATCCAACATTATATGTCCCACTAGCATTACCCATCTCTGCAGATTTTTGATAATAAATGAATGCCTTGTGTTCATCCTTTTCAACTCCAATTCCTTCATCATAACAACATCCAACTTGAAATATTCCATCAGAATCACCCATCTCTGCTGATTTTTGATAATAAATGAAGGCCTGATGTTCATCCTTTTCAACTCCAATTCCATTATGATAACAACATCCAACATTATATGTTCCACTAGCATTCCTCATTTCTGCATATTATTGATAATAAATGAAGGCCTGATGTTCATCTTTTTCAACACCAATTCCATTCCGATAATAATACCCAACGCTAATTATAGCATTAGCATTCTCCATCTCGGCAGAGTTTTGATAATGAATGAATGCCTTATGTTCATCTTTTTTAATTCCAATTCCCAGCATGTAACAATTTCCAACTTCAAATATGCTTTCAGAATCACCCATATCAGCAGATTTTTGATAGAGGAGAAATAATTCGTTATAAATTTCAGGTAACTCTTCATTTAACACTTTTATACGTAAAAAAATATCATACGGAATTAGCTCAAGTTCAATGAAACCCTAAAATTGTATTTAAAATAACGTAATTTTGCTGTAACATTGTGTATCAAAATTTGTGCATTTGAGTAACAAGCGGTAAATCTGTGTTATAATCACATGCAATAAATAAGGCAGTAGGTGAAAAAAAGTATTAATTAATATTCATTATTTCTAATTATCGTTATCAATTATGATAAAAATTATTGTAGCTGAGGTTTAGGTCAAAATCCAGACAAATGAAATAAAAAAAAACCCAGAATTATAACTAATGCTGTCAGGATTTTAACAGGCTCCCGTTTTATGTTTAAATATTGATTGACAATACAGTATTCATAAAACATAATAAAGTATCTTAGAAATCTCAGATACTCTTTTACTCTATTGCACGCACGTACAGTACATTGAAAAGTATTTGAAGCATGAGTAAAATTTATTAGAATTATGTATTTATTTCTTTATTATCCCATCAAAAGATTAAAATATATATTAGATAGATAAAATATGCTATATATGTTAGATAATTATATTAATTTCCTATCATGACCAATAAAAATAGCTATTATGTCAATTAGTCTATTTAATTCTTCCGATTTAATACATTTTTTTTAATAATAATTGACGGGATTCTAAATTATATAATATAGTTTAAATATAAATAGAAGCAACAAGAATAAAAGTGTTATATTTGAAAAAATTGAAATATTTATTTAATCAATTACTAATTCTTTTAATTGCAAAATAATATATTTAAAAAATAGATGCATTAGTTAAGGCATAAATTAAACAATGATATTGTTTAAGTAAAATAAAGTGTAATAAAAATTAATCAATTTGTTTTTGAAGAAGATCGCGTGTATAAGTCACCTTTTCTACAATCATACTAGGGTGAGTTATACTCATTTCTACTTTTTGCGGTACATGGGAACTATGTTTTGTTTTAACATGAGACGAAACTTTTTGTGGTAAATTAGGTGATGAAGTATCGATATATTCTCTAAGGAATGCTATAAATTTAAGAACGTCATCGATAGTTGACATAGCACCTAATGAGACACGCATTGAACCTTGAAGTTTTCCTTTGTAAATATCATTTTCGGGATCACCACAATATTTTCCTTCCTATAATAACATAATAAACCGCAAAATGTAAACATATAGAATGAATATATTAAAATAAAAATAAAGTATAAGAAAAATTACCATATAATTATCCATAACTTGATCGGGATGAAGTTTTACCCATTTCGATGTGCTACCAGGATTACAAAATCCACCAGTTCTTGTATGAATTCCTCGCTCATTTGCAAGAACTTCCACTTCATGGTACCCAATCCAAGAACCATCAGCCTTTTTTAAATTAAAATTGAAAATGGGACCTTGAAGTGAAGGATCAGAATAATCATTATCTGAATAGAGAGCGCATAGAGGATTACCATTCGAATGACGTAAGGAAATCATTTTTCGATACATAAAAGTGCTAAGGGCAGTTAAATGCTCTTTGATGTTAAAATGACTTGTATATATTCTTTCATGTGCATTAAATGAATGTTCAAGAGCAATAATGTCCAAATAGTTAATGGTACCATCTTCATAACGTCCACTCAAATCTTTTCGGAACATCTGCCATGATCGATCATAAGCAACTGCTCTAACTATTAAAAATTAAAATAATAAAATTAATAAAATTAATATATTTAAAATATATTAAATAATTTGAAGCATACAATAAATTACATACTTGTACCACCACCAAAATAACGTTTTTTTAATATTGGAGCCAATTCACTTTTTACTATTAAAGCACCCAAACCAGTTGGAAAGCCAAAGATTTTGTAAAAGCTGAAAGCAACAAAATCAGGAGATTCTTCTGGATCGGCCAATGATAAGGGAGAACATGATACATAAGCAGCAGCATCAAGTAATACCAAGATTTTTGAATTATCGGTATCAAAGGATTTAATCTTTCGTATCCATGTAAGAGGATATCTTTTACCCGAATAATTATCTTGAGCAGGATAAGCAAAAAGTCCATAAACTATACTATTATTTGTTTCAGGCGGTAAATTAACATTTCTATGTTCCGAATACGCTTTAAACATGGACTCCAGGTCTTTCTCGGTTACAACTTTCACATCAGGTAAGTTATTTTCTTCAGCATAGCGTCTTAAGCCTACTAAACTATTATGACCTTCTCTCATATATCTAAAAGAACTTTTACCATAAGTCCATGGGAAGGCTTCACCAACCAATTTAATTGCGGCGGTACAATTTTGAGTGAAAACAACTTGATATTCATTAGGATTAGCATTAAAATGATTTAATATACGAAGTCTAACCCTTTCAGTTCGTTCAGTTGAAAGTAGTGAACTTGGATTCTCCGAATGAGGATTACCAAAAAGATTATGTTTAAGATCATCAGCAAAAGAGTCAATGGCACTTTTTGGATAAACAGTTGCACCAGTATGATCAAGGTAAATAGCGTTCTTTAAATGAGGATATTCATTCTCACGTATAGTATCAATTCTACCATTATAACCGTATTTACTAGAGAATTCTTTTAAGAATTCAACCTTTTCGGATTTTTCTGGATTATTATCAGGTTTATCAAATTTATCAAATTTATCGAATTTATCGAATTTTTCGAATTTTTCGAATTTTTCAAATTGATCAAATTTTTCAATTTCATTATATCTTTTTGGTTTTGAGTATTTTATAAAAGTATCTCGTGAAGCTTTGTGATTAAGTTCTCTTACTGGGGAATCAAGTTTTACGGGAATACCGGGAACACCTGGAGCCATTTTTAAAGAGCGTATCTATATTCTATGGATGTCTAAAAGATGTGAAAATGATAAATAGGGCGAGGAAAGTAATGATAGATAACCAAAATTCTGTTCTTTAAATACTTGAAGGTTTACCGCTCATCACAAGTATCTAATTTATAAAAGAAACCATATTAAGTTAATTTTATTGCAATAAAATATCTAATGATAAATAAACATCACATGAAACTAAAGAAAAATTGAATACTTTTTTAGAAGTAAAATAAGTTACATGAATGTTTAATAAGTGTCTTCGATAACATTCGAATTATGATGATTAAAGTAACAAATGTTTATCTTTTTCACATTCTAGCCATGAAATTTTTACAAATAAGTTAATAATTAAGATTTTTGTATATAAAAGTATTTACTTGACAATTAAGGCATAGAACAAACGTCCAATTCTTTCTCATGAGATTTTCGTTACTACAATGAGACGATTGACACCGAAATTAAGTTCTCAGTTTGTAATCTAAATCGGTTTATCATTTTAATACTCAGATCAGTTTCTATGCTGGAAATCTATAACGTCAGATTTAGCATATGTTACACATCATCACGAGGACTACAAGAAGCGTCAATCAGCATGATTGCATTTCACAATGGTTAGACATCGTTACGCCTCAAAGATTACAGTACGCAAACATCGTACTATATTATTATTTTTTCAACCTTAATCAGTTCTATAGCAGTGTTGGCAAAATGTAGACATGGACAATATGAATAATTGGACATGGATATTATCTATATTTTTCTATTGGACATAAGGCAAATCAATCACGTGGACTTGCTACTTCGAAATACCCGGATAGAATAAGATAAAGTCCGAAATATTCCGCAAATTCGGCAAAATTTAGATTAGTCCAAGTCTAAATTTGTCCAAGTCCAAATAAAATTTTTATTGCACATAGTGCACTGGTTTACGTATAGTAATAATATGTGTACCAATTTAACCTAGCACATATGCAGTACAAATTTTCGCCACCCAATATTAAACCAATATTAAGCTATTTGAGGTGGGATCGACGATTATCATCTACGATCACACGAATATCGCACGAGACAAATCAAAAAAGACATGATCAGAGTATTAGAAGTTATAGAAGTAATCAAATTTATTTTCCGTCAGATCTTGAATGACCTGATCATAGTAAATTTACTGTGTGAGTTATGACTGGTTGGCGATTGGTGCGCCATCGGAAAATTTGGCCTGCAATTTATCGCTTTATTGCTCCATTGGATTTTCAATATTGAACTTTACTAATTTATTATAAATATATAGGTTTAACTTTTTAATATATTTGTAAGAAGAACGTCCGTCGCCACGCTAGAGATTTTAAACATTTTTATTATATGGCTATATAAATTACCCGAATAACCGAGTAATTTGTTAATGATGCACAGGTAGAGATTTTCGGTACAATAGAGATGCGATCCGGATATCCGCTAATTTAAATTTATAACAAAATTATTATAAAGAATCCGGATATCCGTTAAATTTTAAATAGGAAAACGGATAACGGATCGCATCTCTACGGTACAATCTCTATGCCACACTCTGCGCAAATACCAACACTAATTATGAACTATCTATAAACTTTATTATGACCGAATCATTTGGGTCTGCCCGTTCGGATATTACCTCACAAATGAATGTAACTTTTAAAAAGGAATTACATATTTCCTTTTTTATCACCTTTTTTATCACCTTTTTTATCATTATACGTATGATTTTTGTTATTTCGGATATATACTAAATCCGAGTATTTTTATGGATTGAATATTGATAGAATCGAATAGCTAATACAGTAATATGGAATACTTTGTCGAGATGTAGAATTGCCGAAATATCGAACAAATTTTCTCAAAAAGTCATCTCTCCTTTATTTTTAACACCAAAAAAAGAATAAGTACCAAAGTTTTTCATGTGAAAATAATTTTAAACTTTATCTGTTTTGCCGAGTTTCTTATAGGTTATTGTATATGTCTAATCAAAATATTCATTAAATTTTCATGTAAACTATTATGTTTTATTAGTTTGGATTGAAACTGTTTGATTGCATAATCAAATTGTTCATGAAAGTAAAATCGCCACCAAAAAAAAAAAAAAAAAAAAACATGTTTCGTACACGTATAGTTATAAATTTAAACAAGTTTGAAAGCTAATAAATGAAAATAAATACTGGCGCCAACATCAACTATCATCAAGTTTCTGCAAAGAATAAATTTAGAAAAAAAAAATAATAAAAAGAAAGATGAACTACCAACGGAGTTATAATCCAACCTAAACCAGTGTTTCGGCCTAAACCTCCCTCAAAGTCCGAAACGTTTCGCTCAGAGGAATTTTAGGTTCGCCCTATAAGTCCGAAACCCTCCGAAACTAGTTTCGCCCAATTTGATCTGCAAATGATCTGCAAAATCAGGTTTAGCCCGAAACACTACCTAAACATGACTCAAAAGTTTCAAGTCGAGTTAGGCCAGGTTTCGAGTCACTCAGACAACTTAAATTTTTTTGATGTATTTCAACTATAGAATGTTCTGAAAGTTCGGATCTCTAGTTGGCCAAATCAGATTCGGTATGACATTAAAAATAAAGAAAATTTAGTTATATAATAATTTCCTTATTTTATTTTCTTGAATGTGTGTCAGGCTATTGGCGTAGTAATCAGACACAATGATTTACACGAATCAAATTCATGTCATATTTGATTGTTAAAATCCTTGAATAAAAATTTTCTACCTTGGCGTCCTATACTTTGCAGATGTTTACTTCTCTTATTTAATTTAGAAGCTGTTTGGTATTGGTGGAAACGAAGTTTCCGCTTGTACATATACGGATCAGGGTATTTTTAATAAATACCCCGTGATCTTGATATAGTGATCGGTATACAAATAAATATATCAAAAATAATTACGTAATTCTGAAAGTATGTATAGTTAATGAAGCTTATAAAATTAGATTTTAAAGTTTATACCGTATAAGCGCGAAATAACGGGCATGAGCGTTATTTTGAAACCCGGGCACCCTCAAAATAGCATATAGTGTCTCATAACCTGTAATTGATTAGTGCGACATTTTACTAAATACCCCCGTGATCTTGATATAGTGATCGGAGTATTTTTGTATATAAATAAATATATAAACATAATTACGTAATTCCAAAAGTATGTATAGTTAATGAAGCTTATAAAATTAGCTTTTAAAGTTTATACAGTATAAACGCGAAATAACGGGCATGAGCGTTATTTGAAACCCGGGTACCCTCAAAATAGCATATAGTGTCTCGAATTAGCGACCATGCGCGTCCCGAATTAACGCGCACCCAATATAACCTGTAATTGATTAGTGCGACATTTTAATTGCATCGTTGACCTGGGCCATAAACTTAGTATTTTAGTGTGAAATGAAACTAGTGTGAATTTCTAATACCGGTATGTGAGATCATACAGTAACATTATAGGGGCTACTGGTAAGTTGCTTTGTGACAGGTCTTTAGGTCTCACTATGCAAGGTGCATGAGCGTTATTTTAAAAATATTTGGCTCTGAAAATCAGTTCTTATTTCGAAATAACGCACATGCCCGTACTCAAAATAACGCGCAGGTCAATCAATTAACGCGCAGGGGAGCGTTATTTCGCGCTTATACGGTAAGACGACTTTCATATAGTTGGCTAATTTATAAAGATCAAAAAATAAACCAATCAAATCGATCAGAAATTCATTTATGTAATTATTAGCGAAGCTATCTTCATTTATTATATTTTAAAAAGTAATTAAATTAGTTCAATAATATTCTTAATCATCACGACCTTTATTACACTGTTATCGTGCAAACTCTTATAATCATCCTTCTTGTTATTTTTTGTACGTTATTACATAAGCACAACAATCTCGAATTAAAACTCAGTTAGCTAATAATGACTTGTAAAGCATGATCATAATTGCACGATTACATCGATATTGGATCATGCAATGATAAATATCATAAAATTTGGTCTGTTGAAACAAATTATTGATTGAAATGTCCCGCTGCGCGGCACATGTCAGCCAACCATTTGTTCCGACAAAACAAAATTTCATGATATTAATCGTTGCATGACCAATATCTTATATTTAAAGATGCGACATGACCTATAATAGTGTTTGATTTCTATAATATTCGAAATACGCAAAGATGAACATTAGTACAAACCCTTTATTTACTATATTTTAATAATATTTCAAAGGTATTACAAAGTTCTTTAAGTTTTTTTTTTAATACCCCGAGATAGCAATTATCTGGGGACGTCGAATGACATCATTAAAAGTTTTTTAAGTTTAAATCTATGTGTAATATCTCAATCTTCATTTTTCATTAGGCATTTCCAGCACTTAGAACTTGCATATAGTTAACTACTAGTATTAGTAATAAATAATAAAAAAACATGCTTATATGCGAAGTTTTTAGAATTATGGATTATTTTGGATTAATTTTATCAGTGATTATTTACGTTCGTTTAGAGCTAGAAAAGGCTTTCACGGGATTTTTTTTTTTTGTTAGTGAAATATTACGTTCTTAAAAGTACATTAAAGTGTATAAATAAGTTATCCAAAAATTGATTTACATCAGCCAATCAGATGAACGTCGTCCTATGGCTTTAAAGTGAATCTCTTTTAATGGTTAGAACAGTATGATAGAAGGTTGTTTTAATTGGTTGTTGATCTCGATCATCAAATCAGACATTATCGTTATTGGTTAGTAGACCATACCTTATAAAATTTGTCATATGAAATCGTACGAAAATTCTTTTTTTGGGTAAATTGTAACCCCTGATTGCTCGTATGACTAGGGGATATTTTTTTACAAGTATATTCAAGTTTTAAATTGTCGTTTAAATTATTCGTAAAAACAGAGAAAAATATGAATTTTTTAATTGATTTAAACTGAAACTTAGTAACTCAGAGATAATCTCAAAACTGATGGATTTTGCTTAGAAAA